AGCTGCCGCCGCCGCCGCCGCCGCCGCCGCCGCCGCCGCCACCTGCCTTCTTTTTTGTTTTCTATTTTCAAAATAAAAACATGACTGCTTGAGTTCCCGTGGGCTGGGAACTTCACAAGAGACACATCTTTATTTTACTTTTAAAAAAAACCAATGTACAAAATTATAGGCTGTCACATGTCATCTTGAGGTTGAAGCGATCATCTCTGGGCTGGGGAGACGGCTCAGCCAGCAAGGGCGCTTGCTGAGCAAGCCTGAGTTTATTCCCCAAACCCAGGTAAAGGTGGAGGGAGAGAACTGACTCTGCCCATAAACTTGTCCTGTGACTTCACACATGTGCTGTGGAATATGCCCTCCTCCATCACACACACACACACACACACACACACACACACACACACACACACACACTTTTTTTTAAGATATCGTTTCTGATCATGACCTTGAACTCCCTTTATTTTAAAGCTCAAGAGTGTCCTGAGACCTGCAAAGCAGAAGACAAGAAGCAATGCATAATAAAGAATAACGGAGCACTGGAGTGTGTGTGCATGCCAGGCTACCAGAAGACTACCGACGAGAAGTGTGAAGAGTAAGGAATCACTCCATCTTTTTCTTGTCACAGCAGGGCTAGGCCGGAACTTGCAGCACATAAGAAGGTTTAGTATCAGGAAGCTGGCGAGCTGGCATGGGTTGGCAGGGTTAGGGCATCTCTGGGTCATCATCATCCCAGAGTTCTGGAGCATCCTGTATCTCTAGAAACTGCAGTAGGTAGGACCTATCATACAACAGTTAGAAACGTGATAGGTGCCCATTACGAGATGAGGAAAGAAAACTGAGTATGAGCAGTAAGTCCTTGTTCACCAGTTGCCCCTTGGGAGGGTCTGTGCTACGCCATGCCCCTTGGGTTCAGCTTCGCCTGAATTGCCAAGCCTTCCTGGAGTTCAGAGGAGGCTATCTTTAGTCTGTGGCAAATGAAGTACCCTTTGGACTGAGTACACTTCACCGTACCAGCACCATGTGGAATAGTCTCTTGGGAAAATGGTAGCGTAAAGAAGAGAACAGGAAGGGTAAGGGAGGACAGAAGGGAAGGCAGATGGGAAGGGAGAAATGGAAATTAGGGTGGGAACTCCAGCACACGCCCCACGAGGGTCTTTAACCTGACTTCCTATTGTAAATGTGTTCCAGGTGTCCCTTCGGCTACAGCGGGATGGATTGCAAAGACCGTAAGTATAGACGCCCTAAGTTAGTAAACATCCAAGAAATACATGTGAACTACATCCAGAGTCCTGCTCACTCCACCAATGTCTTCCTTCATTCACTGAGAGAGAAACTCAGCTTGGAACTTGTCTCCTGGGCCCCGCCTCCCACATCCACACTTAGGTGATGGGCAGCAAGAGTTCTGCTGTTAGAAATAACAGAACTCAAACCCAGGGCTGAGCAGGTGCCTCTGAACCCACTCCAGACCAGAGAAGGGTAGCCTCAGTCATTATACTCAATGTCTATATTATAGATGGTGCTTCCCAAAATGGTAGGTATTGGGGCACAACTTAAAAAGCAGGCATTTAAACGCTCAGGCTGGTCTTATCGAATCTTATTATTCAGTCGTTTATTTATTTACTTTGGAGACAGGGTTTTACTGTGTAATCCTGGCTGGCCTGGAACTGGCTATGTAGAACAAGGCTGACCTCGATCTCACAGAAACTGGCCTGCCTCTGCCTCCCAAGCATAGGATTAAAGGCCTGTGCTGCCACCAGGCTGGGCCAGGTCTTATCAAGTCTTACTGTTTACTTGTTTGGATTGGCTGTTGCAAAACAGTGTATCGTATCTCTTCCATGCCTCGTCCCCACCAGACTGGGACAATGTTAACTTTAAATTTTAAATTACCTTTAAATTGTCATAATGTACAGAAGCCCAACAACCCAGGAGGCGGTGACTATGAACGTCTGCTCGGCAGCCATGAGAACATGTGAGGAGAGTCTCTGTTCCGTTGTAAGAATGGATCTCCTAAGCCATTTCTCCCTCCTGGGTCTTCCCTTTCCACGTCTAGAAATGAGAAGTTGGGTATATACATAACCTGTCAGGTCCCTTCCCCGACTTCATGGTCTGTGATCCCAGGTCAGAGGTGACACTTGCGACAGTGATGTATCAGAGACAGAGGTCTGGAGTGGCATTGTCTAGTACAAACAGAATATGATCAACACATATCATTGTAAAATGTGAACGTTTCCAACAAAATTCTGAAAGTAAATGAGGTGAGCTTTCTTTCACTAACATATTCCACTTAATTCAAAATATTTAAGTATGCAATCAGTTTCAGAGTATTAATTAGGGGCTGGAGAGGTGGCTCAGTGGTTAGGAGCACTTGCTGCTCTTGGAGAGGACCTGAGTTCAGTTCCCAGCACTCATGCTGAGTAGCACACAAGTGCCTGTAACTCTGGCTCCAGGGGACCTACCAGCCTTTTTGTGCACATATACATACACACATTCACATTCAGTTTGAAAGGGGGGGGGGATACTAATAAGTTTTCCCTTTTTTGTTTTTGTTTTGGTTTTTGGTTTTTGAGACAAGGTTTTTCTGTGTAGTTCTAGCTGTCCTGGAACTCACTCTGTAGACCAGGCTGGCTGCAAACTCAGAGATTCACCTGCCTCTGCCTCCTGAGTGGTAGCATTAAAGGTGTGTGCCACCACCACCTGCCATTAATGAGTTTTCCAATGTTTTTCAGGTTAAGTGTTTGAAACTGGTGTGTATTTTATGTTCACAGGCTATTCTTATGGTCATATTCCAAGAGTCCATAGCAGCCAGGCATAGTGTTGAACATCTGTAATCTCAGTACTAGGGGTGCTGAGGCAGGGGGACCACTGAGTTTAAGCCCATCCTGGGTTATATAACAAAGGATCTATAGCGCTAGTCTGAGGTAGAAGACTGTAGGCATTGACAGACTCCTCCCTCATAAGCCATTACCTGCCTCCTCTGCTGGTAACATGTTCCATGCCCACCCGCTGGCCTGTGAAAAGGGAGAGCTATGGAGGGCAGGCAACGGTGGGAGAGATGGAGAGGGAGTGTAGAACTCAGTGAGGTCTTCCACCCCACACAGCCCAGGAAGACCCTGCCGCCATCAACCTCTTTTGTATTTGTGATTTTAGAGCTGGAAAGGCTGCGTGTAATGATTGTGTGCTGCAGACAACCTAATGGCGAGGGTATGACTAGGGTCGAGGACAAGGAAGGATGGCAGCAGAGATGAGCACCTGCCCTGTGTGCCTCGTGCCTCTGCAGGGCTGGGAGACAGGAACCTGATGGAGCTCACACTGTGCAGGAGACAGCAGGACCCGATGGCTGGGGGCCATTCCTTCCTGCTTCACTTCTGTGGCTGAGACAAATACCCTGGCCAAAGGCGGTAGAAGAGAGAAAAGCTTGGCTAGGCAGTGGTGGCGCACGCCTTTAATCCCAGCACTAGGGAGGCAGAGCCAGGCGGATCTCTGTGAGTTCGAGGCCAGCCTGGTCTACAGTGAGATCCAGGACAAGCACCAAAATGACACAGAGAAACCCTGTCTTGAAAAACAAACACACACACACACACACACACACACAGAGAGAGAGAGAGAGAGAGAGAGAGAGAGAGAGAGAGAGAGAGAGAAGCTTTGTTTGGTTTATAATTCCAGGTTATAGTCTATTATTTTGGGGAAATCAGGGCAGGAACTCAACCATTGCATCCACAGTCAAGAGCAAAAAGGGAATGAACACATGGATCCTTGCTTGCTACTCTCTTGCTCCCAGCTAGCTTTCTTCTCTCTTACTGTTCCGGACCCCCTGCCTAGGGAATGGTGCTCCCCACAGTGGACTGGGTCATCCTGTATCAGTTAACAGTCAAGACAAACCCCTGCCCCAGACATACCACATAGGCTAACCCAGTTCAGGTAACGCCTCACGAAGACTCTCTTCCCAGGTTCGGTTGTGCCAAGTTGACAGGTAAGACTCACCAGGACCCTGCTCTTGTCTCTTCCCTTTCAGAATTCCAGCTCATCCTCACCATCGTGGGTACCATTGCTGGGGCTCTCATCCTCATCCTGCTGATCGCACTGATCGTCTCGGCAAGGTATGGGGGTGGGAAGACACTGCTGAATACGCTGCCTTCCAAAACACTCTCATGGGTGGTGAGGAGGAGGAAACAAGGGAGGCCTCTCTCCCACAACTGAATGGTTTTCCTTATTTAAATTATTGTCTTTCTTTTTGAAGGATTTACGTTTGTTATTTTTATGCATGTATAAGTTTGTATTTTATGCCAACATTTACTTATGGATGTTTGTAGAAGTGCATGTGAGTACAGGAACTCAAGGAATCCGGAAGAGGGTATCAGATCCTCTAGAGCTGGAGTGATAGACAGTTGTGAGCCACCCAACCTGGATGCTAGGACCTGAACTCGGGTCCTCTCCAAGAGCAGTATGTGTTCTTAACCATTGAACATCACTTAGCCCTTACTCAATTTTACCTTTTTAAGTGATGTTATATACACAGTTCTATATCCTTTATGATTTATTTTTTTGTTCAGTTTTATTTTTGCTTCACACTAATCAGACCCAACAATCAGTTTTCTATGGTGTTAATAACTCATCACTAGGGCCAGGTGTGGTAGTGGCACACCTTTAATCCCAGCACTTGGGAGGCAGAGGCAGGCAGATCTCTGTGAGTTTGAGACCAGCCTGGAGTGAGTAGCAGGACAGCTATGGTTACGTAGAGAGACCCTGTCTCAACCAACAGAAAACCAACTTTCCATCAGCACCATTTAACTCAAGTTATGCACAGCTGTATACACCTGTATACTCAGTACTTGGAAAGTGGAGTCAGGAGGATTAGGAGTTTGGGGCCTTCCTCAACTACATAGCAAGTTTGTGGCCAGCCTTGACTACATGAGATCCTACCTCACAAAAAACAAAACCCAGGGCTGGGGCTGGGGCTGGGGCTCAGTTGGTGGAGGGTTTGCATAGTCTGCTGGGATTAAAGGTGTCCGCCACCGCCGCCGCTGCTGCTGCCGCCACCACCACCACAACCACCACCACCACCACCTGGCTCCTTTTTCCTTTTCTAAGGCCTTGGTATGCTGAGCTCCTCCCACTCACTGAGAGGTCTCTTTAGACATTTATTCAGTCACGGTGTCTCTTTCACTTCTATTAGTTTCATATCCAACTAAAAAGCACACTTAATGCTAATGTGGGCCTGGGCATGGTGGCGTACCCTTTAATCCCAGCACTTGGGAGGCACAGGCAGGCGGGTCTCTGAAATCAAGGCGAGTCTGGTCTAGATAGTGAGTCCCAGGGCAGCCAAGGATGCAGGGATGCAGGGATCAGGGGGAAAAAAAATTCCTTCAAGAAACTTTGCTGCCATCCCTAGGTCCTAATTCATTTTCCTGATTATAGCTCAAAGAAGAAAAAGAAGGATATGGAGGAACAGAATTTGATTGACAATGACTTCCACAATGTACGGATGCAGCAAACCGGCTTCAGCAACTCCAGCTTCAGCAACTTCGGAGCAGACAACAGCATCTTCCCCAAAGTCAGGACGGGGACCCCCAAGCAGACCCAAAATCCCTATGGAAATCAGCGAAGCATGCCTCACCCTGACTACTAGGTGAGTGTAGCCTCTGACTTTGCAGAATATAATGCCCAGACAAGGGAAAGCTGAAGCAGGGATGGAGAGGTGGTTACTTCCATTGCCTTGGCAAGACACCATGACCAAGACCCCTTGTAGAAGGAAGAGTTTACTGGAGGCTTACAGTTTCAGAGGGTGAGTGCATGGCCACCTTGGTGGAGAGTGTGGCAGCAGGCAGGTAGGCAGGCAGGCGTGGCACTGGAGCATGAGAGGTCACATCCTTAGGAGGCAAAGAGAACTAACTGGGAACGGGCTTTTTGAAACCTCAAATCCTGCCTCTAATGACACCCCTCCTCCATCAGGGCCACACCTCCAAATCCTTCCCAAACAGTTCCACTAACCAGGGACTAAATATTCAAACATGTGAGTCTATGGGGGCCATCCTCATTCAAACCACCAACTTAGGCTAGGCTACATAGATCCTGTCTCAAAACAAACAAACAAATACCCTAAAGACATAAGGGAGAAGAGAGAAAGCTGGAGAAGACGAAAGTGATAATAACTGACAGATCTCAGTGTTTTCTTGTTGCAGTTTGGTAAATCTTTCCTAAGCCTCATCTCTGTATCTCTCCTCCTGTCTAGAATGATAAGAATTTGGAGTCCTCCCTAGCCCAGCCCACACAAGCTGTGATCTTGAGTGTTTAGAGGACAAGAGAAGTGGGCAGAAACAAAGGCCTGACCTCCAGGGTTCTCTCCACCCCATCTCTCAACCCCTCTGAGTGTGGACCTGGGTGAAGAATGCAGCTTGCTGAGGACACCTATGAAATTAAATACACATAGACACTATGAGCCTTGTTAAGTGTTGATTTTCTCCAGTTAGGACAAAACGCTAATGGTAATTGGTGCAGGCTTTTCTTTCCTGGTGTGTCAACGGCATTTCCAATCTAGAGGGAGCACCCTCATAACCCATCCCTGGGCAGCGCCGCCCCTGAGCTCTGGACTCTGGCCACCCGTCAACAGCCAGTGGCTTGTGGTAGGGCAGGAGACAGAAGCATCTCCCAGCTTTCTCGGGAGGGCTATGGGAATCCAGGATCCTTCCGACGAGAATGAGAAGGCTTGGACTAGCTCTGTCCTCCATGGGGGCTTTCAAGTCTTTCAGGTGTTAGCTGGTAGGAGAAGAAAGGAGGAAAAACATGAGCCTAGGTAGTCGAGAGAGGCCAAGGAAGCTATGTGGGAAGGGCGAGTGAGGGAGAAGGGAGCAGGTGGCACCTGTTCCCTTGGTGGCCCTCCTCAGGAAGGAAATGGGCATGTCTCAGACCCTGAGAAAGCCATAAAAGCTTAGTGAAGGCCCTATGATAGCACAGGCCTTCTGTCTGGAGCTGTGCCGAAGGGTCCAGATGTCCACTCTATGATGCTGATTCCACGGGTTCTTCACTGGGCCTCAGCCTGCTCCACGATGGTGGCTTTTAGCAGTGCGCCGCCTCTCCCCGCCCCCCACCCCCACGGGATAAATACACTCAGCGGTCTTTTTAAATGTCAATTATGGCCCTGTGTCTGATGTCTGGTCCTTTCAAAAGGTACTTTTATTTGTTATTGTTATTTGTGTGACTGTTCATTGTGAAAGACAATGAATGATGCAATAAAATATCTTTGGTACTCTGTGTCCTTTCTTGTTTGGGAGCTCTTGGTGGAATACACAGCAGTGAGCCTCGTTTTCTTTTGTTTCTGGTTTGAGCTAGGTCTCACGTATCCCAGACTGGCTTCAAACTTTCTAGATAGCAGAAGACGACCAGAGATTTCTGACCTTCCTGCCTCCACCTCTCTAGTGCTGGAATTACAGGTGTGTGCCACCATGCCTGAGTTATGTGGTGGGTAGGGATCATACCAGGGCTTCATGCATGCCAGACAAGCCCTGGATAGCAACCAAGCTAGTTCTTAGACCCTAGCACGAGTCTCATTTCATTTTTTAAGGATTTGTTTTATTTTTAAGTGTGTGTGTGTGTGTATGTGTGTGTGGGGGGGTGGGTAGGTAGGTAGGTAGGTAGGTGGGTATAGATAGCCGTGGATGCCAGAGGCATTATATCCTCTAGAGCTAGAGTTATGGGGAACGTGAGCTGTCTAAGATACTGAGAACTCAACTCAGGCCTTCTGTAAGAGCAGTCAGTACTCTTAACTGCTGAATCAGCTCCCTAGCTCTCCCTCTCCTCTTATTTTAAACCGAAAATGTGATTCGACAGCTGTGAGCAACTGACATTCGCTGCCCTCTTTAGGGTTTGTGGATCACCCACGACAACATTTTTACCTGTCGTAGATTGTGTGGGCTGCTAGCCCCCAAACACAACTCTATGACAAGTAGCCAGGCTGTGGGCGGGACTCGGGCCACTCCTGCCTCCAGGGATTGGCCCAGACCAATCCGCGGAGTCCCATCTTCTGCCACTGGGGTGGAGTTACGCTGAACACCTGTTGAAAGTAGACTCTGGGAGCAAAAGAACCTTTGTCCCGGACTCGGAATGTTTATTTAAAGTTCTTTCCCAAACTCCCCGTCTTGTGGCTGGAGAGATGATGTGGCTGGTAAAGGCGCTTGCTGCCAAACCTGACAACCTGGGTTTGATCCCCAGGACACCCACGTGGTGAAAAGAGAACTGACTCCCACAAGTTGTTCTCTGGCCTTCATACTTAGGAGACAGAGGCAGGTGGATCTCTGAGTTCAAGGCCAGCCTGGTCTACACAGTGAAACTATATATATATATATATATAAACTTCTCTGTCCTGGGTCAGGCTTGTCCCCAACTCTGACACAGGAAGAAAGTAGACAGATAATGATGTTAGAAAACAGATAGTGTCCTTGAGAACAGCTGGAGGGTAAACCGTGTCCCCTAGAGGTTACTATCGTTTATCCCTTGGTGTAAAAATGCCTGTGGTGGGAAGAGGAAGCTGGAAACTCATCCATGGAGAGAAAGCTCAGTCAGGAACTCTAGCTGGCTGCCTCAACCTCCCTAGTTGACTTCTGGCTGGCTGTTGAAGTCATTGACTTGATGTGTGAACTACAGTTTTCCAGAGGAGGAGGGAGGGAGAGGCAGAGGATAACTGTAACAGTAATTTTTAATTTTTTTTTGTTTTTTGTTTTTTGTTTTTTTTCAAGACAGGGTTTCTATGTGTAGCTTTGGAACCTGTCCTGGAACTCACTCTGTAGACCAGGCTGGCCTCGAACTCACAGAGATCCGCCTGGCTCTGCCTCCCGAGCGCTGGGATTAAAGGCGTGCGCCACCACCGCCCGGCAACAGTAATTTTTTAAAGACTCATGTTGGGAAGAATCCTGTGACAGAGGGGTCTGGGTGCTCAGTGAATCACAGGGGGTTGGGAGCTACCTGATAAATAGGTGCTGAGAACCAAACTCCAGTCTCTCAGAAGAGCAGCACATGTTTTTAACTTCCAGGCCATCTCTCCAATCCCCATAAAGCACATTCCTTAGCTACTAGTGCCCACAGTAGAGAAACACTGGGAGAAAACTGGCTGGCTAATGCAATCATCAATTAACAATGTCAGTGTACATGCAGGAATGAAGTCAGCCAAACACTGCGATGCATTCACAGACTTCACTTCCATGCACACGACCTCCCTCATTCGCGGGCAGCTCCAGATTTTAGCAGGCTCTCTGAGCCCCGTTTCTAAACCGTTCTACCTGTTTGCCTCTGACTCACAACGTGCCAGCTCCCAGCACGTCTCAAACATCCTTGAGTTCATGGGCCATTCTTCAGAGACACGCTGTTGTGGTAGGAATATAAATAGTCTTCTGAAGGGGCTGGAGAGGTGGCTCAGCGGTTAAGAGCACTGCCTGCTCTTCCAGAGGACCCAGGTTCAATTCCCAGCATCCACATGGCAGCTCACAACTGTCTGTAACTCCAGTTCTAGGGAATCTGACACTCTCACACCAATGCACATAAAATAAAGTTAAATAAATTGTATATATATAAATAGTCTTCTGAAGACCAGATGTGGTGGTGCACACCTTTAATCTTAGCACTTGGGAGGCAGAGACATGCAGATTTCTGTGAGTTCCAGGCTAGCCCCAATACCCTATCTCAAAAACAAACAAACCAACAGAGTCTGTAGTCCAGGCTGGCCTCAAACTTAATTTATAACCAAAGATAACCATGAACTTCCGGTCCTCCTGCCTCCGTCCCAATGCTGGGATTGTAGGTGTGCACCTGTTGAACAGGACTTTTCTGATCCAAACTGCCACCATCTTCAAGAGTTCTGCTGAGCCTGCTTGCAAAAATTCATCACACCTGATGACTATTTACCATCCTTCATAGAAGAAGGGGATGGGGAGGGGATGGGACCCTCACTTGTCTCACCCAAGTACCCACCACCACCCTATGTAATTCTGCCCTAATTGCGTGTGGTCTTGGGGCACCAGGCCAGAGGGTATAGATGGGGAAAGATGAGGAAAGGGGACTCCATCCATCTCCACAGCTGTGGGGAAGTTGTCATCTCTGTGGGCTGCAGACCTTCCAGTGGGCTGTTTCCCCCTGCCACCATCCCCACCCCATCTCCCCACCCCCCACCACCCCATCACCACCACCCTGCCCAAGACAGGATTTCTCTGTATAGTCCTAGCTGTCCTGGAATGTTTTCTGTAGACCAGGCTGGCCTCAAATTTAGAGATCTGCCCGCCTCTGCCTCCCGAGTGCAGATTGAAGATGGGCTCCACCGCTGCCCACCTCCAGCTTGGCTGCTTTAAGGTCACCATGCTGCTGCCCGTAACCCCTCACCCATTGCTCTGTAAGTACGCCTAATTAACTCATTGGTTCCCCCTGGTGGGCTTCTGTGGAATCACACCTGGGGCTGTCATTGGGCTCTTAGGAGGGAAGGTGCTTTAGTAATAGCGCAGCTCTGCTTGGCTTGGTCACTGGGACAACATAAAGGACCAGGGATGCTACATTTTGATCTTGAATGGTCCCCAAAGGCCCCGGGTGTTAAAGGCTTGACTGCAGTTTGTGCTGCTACTACAAGTACTTGGGACTTCCAAACAAGGCCTGGCAGAAGGGAGTTTGTTGTGGAATATTATTTTCAAGATGTGTTGCATTTGTTTATGCTATGGAGCATTTGTTTAATGATGCAAAGATGTGTTGCATTCTTTTATGTTGCATTTGTTTAACTCTGTGAAGCTGTGTTACTGTGCCTGTCTAAAACACCTGATTGGTCTAATAAAGAGCTGAACAGCCAATATCAAGGTAGGAGAGAGAATAGGTGGGGCTGGCAGGCAGAGAGAATAAATAGAGGGAGGAGTGAGAAAAGGAAAAGGAGGAGGACACCAGGGGACAGCCACCCAGCCACACAGCCACACCACAGCCACACAGCCACACAGCCACCCACGGATTAAGAAGGATAGAAAGGCATGTAGAATAGAGAAAGGTAACAGCCCAGAGGCAAAAAATAGATGGGATAATTAAGAAAAGCTGGCTAGAAACAAGCCAAGCTAAGGCCGGGCATTCATAAAAAAGAATAAGTCTCTATGTATTTATTTGGGAGCTGGGTGGCAGGCCCCCAAAGAGCAAAGAGAAAAAAAAAAGCTTCAGAAGTTAGTCACTGAGGTGTGCCCTTGAAGAGGAGACTGAGATGCCAGCCCCCTCCTTCCTCTCGATTTTGCTTCCTGGCTGCCATGAGTTGAGAAGGGCGTCCACTCCTGCCGTGATGTCCTGTGCTGGATAGGCCCGAAGCAGCAGAGCTAAGCGCCACAGACCAGAACCTCGGAAACGGTGAACCCAAACACATCTTTGCTTCTTTTACATCCATGGCTTTTTGTTTTTTGTTTTTGAGACAAGGTTTTTCTGTGTAGCTCTAGCTGGCTTGGGACTCCCTATGTAAACCAGGATATTCTTGAACTTGCAGAGATCTGCCTGCCTTTGCCTTCCAAATGCTGGGACTAATAAGAAGAGCATGCTGCACCATGCCCAGCCAATTAATTTTTTTTCAAGTGTGTGTGTGTGTGTGTGTGTGTGTGTGTGTGTGTGTGTGTGTGAATACAGACAGGCAGGCAGATGTGTACCACAACATACACGTGGAGATCAGAGAACAGTTAGTTCTGTCATTCCACTATCACATGGATCCTAGGGGTCCTTCTCAGGTCATCAGACTTGCTCCACGAGCACCTTACGTGAGGAGCCATCTTGTTGGACTCCCTTTTCTAACGTTGATTTATCCAGTTTCGGCAATGGAAAGTGGATGAACATGGGTGGGATCCAGACATTCAGATACCAGCACATTAAAAAAAATCATCTGAATAGATCAGGAAACCATCCTTCCCCTGGCCAGGTTTTCCTAACCACACAGCCCCAGAAGTACAGTTCCCTCCTGTCCCAGCTTGTTCCTAGAGTCTAGGAAATTTCATGGTCAGTAGATGGCGCTGTCTCCTATCACTTGCAGAAAATGCACTAGAGGAGCCGGCTTCCAAAAAGGCTTATTTCTAATTGCTAATTTCCTTCCTTCCTTCCTTCCTTCCTTCCTTCCTTCCTTCCTTCCTTCCTTCCTCCCTCCCTCCCTCCCTCCCTCCC